TCTTTTCCTAGAAAAAAAGGCCAGCTGTGGCACAGATGTAATGGTTGATCCATATATGTTGTCCAGCAGTCCTGAAAATGCCACCGAGTAAGGCTTCTAGTTCACTAGTGTCATGTGTTGGAGAAGCAAAGTCTTATGAACATGTACTTCCCCGAGATATCTGAATTCTACAATGTAGAAGTATTTTGAGCATGGTTTTCATACAGCTGTGCAAGTAATATCTAACTCGTATGTCATATTTCTGTAATGTGTTACACAAGTGTGAAGTGCTAACAAAATGCCTACATGGAATCTACAGATGTTTTGATAGTTCCAGCATGTAGTTTCTTAAAATTGTGCTGCCTTCATTTAAGTGAGAATTTGGGCAGCTCTTGACCAGTGGAGTTTCAGCTATTGAATGTTTTAGTCTGTTGTACCAATAGTTGTAATAACTAGATTGATGTTAAACTTTTTTGCATATGTAGATTGCTTAAGTCCTATATTTCTACTGGAACTATACTTGATTTAAGTTTGGGTTTGCTTAAATGAAGGTTACTTAGATGTATACAAACGACTGTACATTATGCAACACTGCTTTCTGATGAGCGCTGAGATTTCTTTGCTAGAATAGCTCTCCTAAAAAAAAATGTGAGGATATTTTGCACCAGTTACTTTGAATGTTTTGTCCTCCTTTATGGTAAACAATATATACTTCAGTGTGAACTCTGCATTTATACTACTATACTAACAATAGAACAAGATGGAATAAAGCTGATGCTGGTGCATTGTTATCTGGTCTTGATCTTTTTGATTTCTCCACTACTTTCTTTAGTGTATAAGGAATACTTCCTTCATCTATAATTAATTGACTACAATCTGTTGGATGAACACCCTTTTTAAAAACAGGGCCAATAAGTACAGAGCACCCCAGGAATATTAAACATAAGAGGATAAGAACGGCCATACTGGGTCAGACAAATGGGTCCATCTATACTCCTGGGCCAATGCTGCGCCACTGCGCGCATACAGAATTCATGTTCTCTGCAGATTTCTTTGCTTCCCCACAGAAAATGACAAGGAAGCCAGAAGAGTGGTCATGAAACCCTCCCCAGCAGTGCAGGCGTGTCGTTTTGGGCACCTGGAGCAGTTGGTGGAGAGGTAAATCACTGTGGAGAAGGGGCTGGGCAGACCCCGGCCGCTGACTCCTACCCTGTGCTGATCTCAGCTGCTAGTCCTGGCTGGGCTGCGGGGGCCGGGAAAGGACAGAACTTCCTCTTCCCTTACAAGGAGCTGCTGGGGCCAGGTCAGACCCACCCCCAGAACCCTCCCCTGACTGCAGGAAGCTCTGCACTCCCTCTTGCTGCATGCCCCTATCATTCATCCCACCTGCATCCAGACTCCCCATACCTAGAATCCCCACACACAGTCCCCTGCACTCAAACGCTCACCATGCTGAGCCTCAGCCCCTGCATCTAGAGCCTTTCTGCACCTGAACCCCCCTCTCCCTCCACCCCCTGCCGAGCCTCACTTCCCACACTGGGACCCCGCCATCAAGGTCCTCCCCCCTGCATCCAGACCCCCACCCCACTGTGCCCAACCAGCTGCACCCGGACCTCCACCACACTAAGCCCCACTCCCCCAGCATCCCCTGCAGAGTCCCTTTCCCCTTGCACTCAGAATCCCTCAACGAGCCCCTGTGCATCCAGATCCCCCACCAAACCACCCACACCCAAATTGCCCCCCACAGAACCCTCTCACCCCGCACCTGGATCCCCTCCACACTTGTATCCTGCTGGGCTGAGCCTGCTTGCCCCACACCTGGATCGGGGGCCAGGGTTGAGCATGTGTGAGAGACTGTCCCTCTCGCTTACTATCTTGGTGCACCTGGCATGGAGGGACAGGGCCCTGGGGTGTTTGTGGGGCAAGCCTTGGCTCCTGCACTGTCAGAGTTGGGTCAACCTCATGGCCAAGTCCATGTTGGGGATGGGGGGGAAATGCAGGGTGATCTTCCACCTCTGTGGAGCCAGTGGACTGTGCTCCCCACTGCCATGCTGGAGCCGCCATCTTGTTTATTGACAAATAAAATATGCAGAACTTTAGAATACTGTGCACAGAATTTTTAACTTTTTGGCGCAGAATTCCCTCATACATCTAGCTCAGTATCCTCTTCCAACAGTGGCTGGTGCCAGATGCTGCAGAGGGAGTGAACAGAACAAGGCAATTTGGGTGATTCATCCCCCATTATCCAGTTCCAACATCTGGCACTGTTCTAAACGTTTCCAAACACTGGAAATGTGTATGCAAAAGTACTGACTTGCTTGTTCTCACTTTACAAGTAGGAACAAAACCTTCAAACAGAATTGTAAGCACAGTGAGTGAAATAAACTTTTTCTGTTGCATGTGTGGAAATTGCTGTGGAACAGAGCAAGTTTCATTAGATATTACCATTTTCTCTTAGAGGCAAAGGACACTGCCATGCTATGAGTAATATGTCAGAATTCTCACAAGGTTGGTAAGATTAAGATTAAAACATGTTTTGTGCCATAATCAGGTAAGGTAGATTCTCCACAAAGCTGTAGGATTTTTCCATGCAATTTTGATTTAGGAACACAAGTCCCATTGACAGTCAGTGGGACTTGTTCCTTAAATACTGTGGAAAATCCCACTTGTCACTTTTTGTTTGTTTGAATCTCTTTGGTAAATCTTTATGCTGTTGGTAACAGGGCTTATTCTACAGTATGTTAGTAAATTCATAAAAATGGGCCTGGAGGGAGGTGGTTTTATTGAAAAAAATACTGCTAAATGTATTTCTAAAACTTCATTGCAGTATCTTACAAATGCTAATTCTGCTGTACGCTGTATATAAACATTAGAATCAAATGAACTATGGTTAAAGGGGGCAACATTTTGCAATGTTTATTCTTAAGATTAGGAGTCTTATTAAACTCTTCTTGAAAGTTGATTTAATTTTGCTCCACCTGTAGACAAAACAAGATCTTAGGACTGTGGCTTTGTCCACCCATCTCTCCATGTTGATAATTACTTATGGAGATAAGCTTCTTCTGAAGATCAGAGCTGCACAGCAGCTTCTAAATGGTCTATCAAGTGCTTTCCCATGCCTACTGTCTCACCTAGACACGGCAAGTAGCAACACTGGTAATAGCATAAGCAGCATAAGGCTGCTAGTGGTGAGAATGCCTAAGCCTATGTCTACACTACCACTTTTGTCAGTAAAACTTTTGTCTCTCAGGGGTGTGGGGAAAAAAAACACACCCCTGACAAACATGAGTTTCACTGGCAAAAGTGCTGTGGACAGCGCTATGTCAGCAGGGGAACTTCTGCTCACACAGCTAATGCTGCTTTGTTGGGGGTAGTTTAATTATGCCAGCAAGAGCGCTCTCTGGCTGGCAAAGAGCGGCTTCACGGGAGACCTCACAGCAGCACAGCTGTAGCGGTACAGCAGTGCTGCTGTAAGGTCCGTAGCGTGGACATAGCCTAAGAGTACTATAGCCACTCCTTGCCACAGCTATGAAAACAAAACTGTCCGATGATGCCTTCTAGGGAAGATAGAAGGGAAAGGGCAGTGGCTGATCATGCAGATGTTATTGCCGCTGTAGTATTCTAAATATATCAACCTAATGGGTACTGACTAGGAAGTATGTGTGTCAATTACTTGTGCCGAATGGAAGGATGGGAGCAAGGGGAAGGTGGCAATGCCATGGGCAGAACTGGGAATAGACCATCTCTAGTAGGTGGTAATGTGGCTGGGGAACTCATGTCCATAACACAAATGACCGCTTGGCATTCTTAAAAATGAAATTTTATCACTGCATCGGGGCCAATGGCCTGCCCTAGGTCACTCCCCAGGTTCTCCACTGAGGAGGAACAGTACTCTATCTGTGCAGTAGACATGGTCGTAAAGCTCTCTTCCTCTGACTGCTAATGGCTCTATGAAAGGAGTTCAGTTGTCCTTTGCCAGAACAGTGATTCTATGAGGGGGGGAGGTGTTTATTTGTGGGGAGTTAAAAGGGAGAGCTCCTGAGTTCTAACAGACCCAAAATGACCCCTTGTAGGGAAGTAAGCACAATTTTAAGTTGGAGATAATGTAGCTTAGAATGTAGTTTAAAAATAAACGTTTCTATTTCCCTTGTTCAGCAAATTCCAGCTCAAGAGCTTGTTTGTTGTTGAAAACATAGATTTGTATTGCAAGGGCACGCACAAGGTCAGAAAACTACAACTGTCCTGGAACTAGGCTACAGTTTGCTTATGACATGTAAAAAAGCATCCCTAAATGTAATAGTACATGTCACAATATGTTGAGATGGCATTTGTACAAAGCAGGTCAATGTATGTAAAGACAAAAGAATTACTCTTAAAGATGAAGACTACATTGCCTTGAGAGTTCAATTTTCTCTCCAGTATCAGCCTCATCCCCAACTACAGATGATTACAAAGCAGGCAAAAGCTGGATGGAGAAGGTGCAAAATCCCATTGACTTTTAGGGGACTTGTGCTCCTGTGTCACTTGGGTTGGATTTTCCAAAGCACCTAAGTGCTCCCTGTGCTTTGTAATCTTGACAAGAAATTCTGCTAGTCTTGCATTGTCTGTCATTGAGGGAAAACATTTCAGCTAATTTGTTTGCAGTTTTAGTTTCCTAAAGCATGGCAGGAATGCTTAAGCATGTGCAGTGTGGCTTCTAAAAAACAGAATCAGTTATTAACTACTAAATATACCATATGTGGCACCTACAATCCAAACTGGTTTGAATTTTAGGAGGCAGGACTGTGATTAAAGTCCCTAGATCCCAATCTGTCCTTGCAATTTTGGTTCTGGGTTAAATCCAAAACTAGAAGGAGTCTTCTTTCAGTTTGCAGTTCCCATGGAACTGAAACCTCACAAGAAGAGCCAAACTTCCAGAAGTCTTACAGGAACTCTCCCAAGAACAACTGCTCTCAAGAGGTTTCAGAGTAGCAGCCGTGTTAGTCTGTATCCGCAAAAAGAAACTGAGTACTTGTGGCACCTTAGAGACTAACCAATTTATTTGAGCATAAGCTTTCGAGAGCTACAGCTCACTTCATCGGATGCACGCAGTGGAAAATACAGTGGGGAGATTTTATATACAGAGAAAACATGAAACAATGGGTGTTACCATACACACTGTATGCTCTCAAGAGGCTTCCAGGGGTGCTGGTGGAAATATTTTGTAAAATCTATCTTCATTTAGGATCAGACTCTTAAGAAACTGAGTCAGGGCTTCCCATTTGATATTCTTGAAGTCAGGCTAACTTAGGTCTAGTAATTTTTTTCCCCCCTCAATACTTATGTAGCACTCTACAGCTGGAGAGCTCAAAGCATCTGATATGCTGGTTAGGTATTGTCTCCATGTTAAAGATGGAGATGCTGAAGAGCAGAGAGGATAAACATTTTGCCCAAACTCTTGCCAGAATGAAAGTCACCTGCTGTAAACACTAGGCAACACTGCTTCTTTCCTAATTTAGAGTCAGACATTGATCTAATAACTGATTTAATATTTAATTTGTAGAAAGCAAAAGTTTTACAGTATTTTCAATAACAAGTTTATAGGCTGGTATGAATTTAAACCCCTGCAACTCTTTTATCAGCGTGCAATGAGACTGCCTCACAGTCGCCTGTCTTGATAAGTAAGAACAAAAAATACGCTGGAGCTGTGGGAAGTAGCTGGCCAGCCATACTAGACTTCTAAGTAAGATCTTGTTGAAGACTTAACACTGTGCATACTAAAGCACTGTTTATCAGTTTCTTCATTCTAGTGATTCAGGCTGAGTTGAGGGTAGATCAATGTTGGTTCCGGGAATGACATTATGACCTTCGCCATCCAGGAGAGCGTCCCACTGATCAAAACCTTTCTCCAGACCTGTGAAACATGGAAGCAAAACAAATGTGACCAAAAACAACAACTGTCTGAAGGAGACAAATGCAAAAATTATTAAAATCAAACTACCAGATAATGAGGTAATTACTTGCCAATTTCATCTTTTAAATCAAACTGGTTTGGAAGATGTTGGAACAAAATAAAATGTGAAGTGGGGAAACTTTAAACTATTTACACATCTCATAAATTAGAAATGAATAAAATGAAGAAAATTTAAATGTTCCTAACTTGAGGCACTTTAACCCGATCTTGCAGCTGGGAGAAACTTTTTACAGTCAAGTTACAAACCCAGAGAAAAGAGTCAACTGTCAAAGTATTCACACATTTTCAGCAAGGGGCAGGTCAGCAGGTACTGAGATAATTCACATTTTAATTTTTGTCCTATAGAAAATGGTGGGTTAGTTTGAGGGGCTGCATAGGAATAAAGAGTTGATTAACGCTTAATCATATCGGTCTTAATAGTCACCTGAGCCTTTTAAACAAAACTACCTTTTAATACTGCTACTCACCTAAATGTTTCTGCAAGAAGGCTAATGAAGCTTTGTTGCTAATATCTATAGCTATGTTTGGGTCTATTTCTCCCTTTAATTTGAAAATCTTTCCAACAATGGTACCAGCCAGGAAGGTAAAATCTGGAAAACTCTGATGTACTGATCCCCTATAAACAGAAAAGAGACAGTTTTAAATGAGTTCACAGGAAGGCAGTTTTGCAATAAAAGGTAATGCATGTAAATCAAGTCATTTGCAAAGATAATCATGGATTATATACTTAATTGGGATAGGAGACTTGTATTCCTCTATTGCTACTGCTGCTTCAGGGCTTTTCCATACTCTGTTATTTAGGAATAGCTTTTATTTGTTAAATTCGAAACCTGCCTTAATTGGAATAGCTTTCAAGTGTAGGAAGAACCCTAAGGGTAAATTCTGTGTTGAGGTACATGTCTACATGACCAGCCTTGAAGTCAAGGACTGCAGTTTTGTGTATGAATCTGAGATCCTTAGGGCAGCAATAATCCTCTGCCCCTCACAGTTCTTGCCCAGTTGATTGGGATGTGTTGTCTAGTGGATCCAAATAATCATATTAACTGGATCTGCTCCCCACAGCCTCCAAATGCCCCTTGAAGGACCCTTGAAACTGTTAATAGAGTCACAGATTCCTGGACCAGAAGGGATCATGGGATCATCCAGTCTGACCTCCAGTATAACACAGGCCACAGAACTTCCCCTGCAAAATTCCTAGAGCATATCTTTAGAAAAAACATCCAGTGTTGATTTAAATGCTAGTGATGGAGTATCCATGGCCTGGAGTAAATTGTTCCAGTGGTTAATTACCCTTGTTGAAAATGTATGCCTTATTTCGTCCAAATTTGTCTAGGTTCAACTTTCAGTCACTGGATCATGTTGTACCATTCTCTGCTGGACTGAAGATCCCTTTATCAAATATTTGTTCCACATGTAGATACTTACAGATTGTGATCAAGTTACCTCTTAATTTTTGTTAGGCTAAATAGATTGAGCTCCTTGAGTAGTGGTGGGCAACCTGCGGCCCACGGCTGCATGCAGCCCATCAGGGTAAGCTGATTGTGGGCCGCGAGACATTTCGCAGACGTTGACCATCTGCAGGCATGGCCCCCCTGCAGCTCCTAGTGGCCATGGTTCACCGTTCACTGCCAATGAGAGCTGTGGGGGGCCGTGCCTATGTACGGTCAATGTCCGCAAAATGTCTCGCAGCCCGCAATCAGCTTACCCTGATAGGCTCAAGGACAATGGTGGGCAACCTGTGGCCCATCACTATAAGGCATGTTTTTTCTAATCTAATCAATCTTGTGCTCGTCTCTGAACCTTCTCCAGTTTATCAACAACATAGAATCATAGAATATAAGGGTTGGAAGGGACCCCAGAAGGTCATCTAGTTCAACCCCCTGCTCGAAGCAGGACCAATTCCCAGTTAAATCATCCCAGCCAGGGCTTTGTCAAGCCTGACCTTAAAAACCTCTAAGGAAGGAGATTCTACCACCTCCCTAGGTAATGCATTCCAGTGTTTCACCACCCTCTTAGTGAAAAAGTTTTTCCTAATATCCAATCTAAACCTCCCCCACTGCAGCTTGAGACCATTACTCCTCGTTCTGTCATCTGATACCATTGAGAACAGTCTAGAGCCATCCTCTTTGGAACCCCCTTTCAGGTAGTTGAAAGCAGCTATCAAATCCCCCCTCATTCTTCTCTTCTGCAGGCTAAACAATCCCAGCTCCCTCAGCCTCTCCTCATAACTCATGTGTTCCAGACCCCTAATCATTTTTGTTGCCCTTCGCTGTACTCTCTCCAATTTATCCACATCCTTCTTGAAGTGTGGGGCCCAAAACTGGACACAGTACTCCAGATGAGGCCTGTGAGAACACCCTTGTTCTCTGTGTCACTGAAGGAATACACACCCCTTGTGTGGGATTCTTATATTTTTCTCCATCCCATCTCCTTCAGGGCCATCTGTGCCAGTGAATGGATCAGGCATTTCTCTTAAGTACTGGCTACAGAGGTGTTCTCTGCTTAGGAGAGGTGAAGGCCTCAAAAAGGACTTTTTTTTTATGGCCTTGGGCAAGTCACATGGCCCAGCTCAAACAGAAGTATTTAAGCACCTAACTTCAATTGAAAGGATTTGTGAGTAGGCCGGGGAAGTGGCTGGGGTATGCAGATCCACGGGTCACAAATTCCACCTGGGTGTTGCACAATGGGCTCCAGTTGCTACTCTAGCCCCCATTCTCACAGCCAGGTTACACAGATGATGGGCACAGCATAAGAACCTGAATACAATAGAACAGATATCTTGCATCTTTGGTTGGAAGTCTGTATTGATTTGGTGCACAAAGCCCTTTGCTTTGACGCCAGACTTCTATATGAAGAGATTTGAAAACAAAAATGCCTTGCATGGTAAATACTTCTGGTGAGGTTGTAATAACTGGCACTGCTAGATTCCCACAGGTAAACCACCAACTCTCCTCAGAAGCCTGTAATTTTCCTCCTGTAGATTTTACAAGCAAAGAATCCAGTCTCTAGAGAAGAAAACAGGACTATAGTGCTGTAATACTTACTTGATAGTGATCATTTTTCTTTCTGTGCCAGTGGAGTAAAGTTTCTTTATCTTTAAAACATTTGAAGCCCACTGGAATTTTTCTGAGTTGATAAACAACAATGGCTGGCGGACCCTGGTATAAACTTCATCATCTAGAGGAAGCATCCATGCATCCAGGGCAATGCCACACCTGCAAAAAAGGAGCTATGCGATCATATCACTGACATAGAATGGTTCATAGGGTGGTCTCAGTATGCTTTGAGTTACAGTGTACATGGATAAATAGGCTATAAGAATTCCTGAAGGGATAGCGTGCTTTCATTGCAGACTGGAAATCCATTTGGTATGGCGGGGAGCAGGCCGATGTTCCACTCAGTCCTGTCCCTGGCCCCGTGAAGCTCTGGCAGAGACGCTTCCACAGGGTACCAAGAAATGAGAAAGCATGTGAGTCTGTTTCAGATGTTCTGGCTCCCCGAAGCTCACAGAAGCAGGGGGTAAGTATGGAAAAAATTGTCCCTAGTAAGCAAAGCCATTTTCTTTACAATTGCTGTAATCATTACAGTTAGTACTAGTTAAATGAGATCTCAGCATAGCCAAGAAAAGCAAAAAGCTTAAATGCAGTTTGATGCCATCCCAAAGCCTGGGACTTGCCTTTGCTTTATGATACTTACTTGAATCTAGCTTCTTTGCTAAGAGCCTCAATGGCTGTAGCAGCACCAAAAGAGTGTCCCATCACAGCTATTCTGTCACTATCAATAGAACCCTGTAAAAGAAATCAAGATGCTGTGAGGAACGTTCCTTTCCCAACTTTTAGTCATTACGGCATATCTATTTTAAAAGCTAGAGACTACTAGAATGGAAATAGAAAGATAGCAGCTATAAAAACACAGCTTCAGGATCACATGAGATGAAACGGTCATACAACTAATATGGTTGGCTGATGTGGGGATCACAGAAAGAGAAAACAGAAGGGCAGTCAGGCTATTATTAAAAGGAGTCTAGATCTCTTCACTCACCTTTAAGAGAGTCCAATCAAAGTTTAAAGATAGTACATTCACTACATGTTTTCCAGAATTAATATCAAGAATGAGGTCAAGAGCTTTGATACACTCCTCTGTTCTCTGCTGCAACTAGACATAGATAAAAAAACAACAATTATCCTTCTGGACAGAAAAAACAAGCTGCCAGGCATTCAGTTAAAACACTTAGAAAAAAAATCTTAGAAACATCTAGGGCTTCAAGTCATTGGGATTACGCTCATGTTCAAAGATAAGCACTTTGCAGAACTGGAGCTTGGATCCATAAATAGAAAAAAATGAAAGGAGCTGTACCAGTTTAAACCAGCAGAGAATTTGGCCCTGAGGACTGAAGTGCCAGTGGCCTTGAGCTTACTCTGCACAAGAGTTAATTTAGCCCCATGAGAACAACTCCCATGGACTCAGTACTTTTCAGGAGCAGGCTTGTCAGGACTTGGATGAAAGATGTATTTAAAACTTGGCTGGTCCAGATGATCCCTTGTCTCTCTTGTGGGGTTCACCTGAATGAGCTATCGTGTTACAGTTGTTAAGGAAAAGTTAGCACATGTGACTCCATTTGTTTGGGGCCCACCATTGTCTAAAAGGAAGCACATCATGCACCAGGAGGAGTGTTCCTTAGACACCGCATCCCTGTGAAAATCCTCCTCGTCTCCAGCCTGCCTTGACTCCCAGTATCTGTTTTTTGTCAGTCTCTAACTCCCTATTTCCTGGCCTTTGATGTGAGGCCTCCCATCCGGATAATAAAAGTTACTGATGCATGGCTTTAGGACCATGCTGTGTAATTAACATACTGGTTTAGCACGAGGAATGCACCAAGCGGGGATAGGTGGTAGATAAGAAAAGGGTTTGTTTATTGGCTAAGGTTTCCGATGCACGAGGGCAACATGCTTTGCTAAAAAGTATATAACCTTTGTATAATCTGTATTCGGGGTCCCCTCCTGGCTAGCAGGGGGACACCACGCTCGAGCGTAATAAACTTAGTGTCTTTTGGGAACTCTGCAGTTGTGGACTTTGTTTCTGTGCCTCAGCCTAGATTTGAACTGTGCGTGACCTATCAGGTATAATTCGCAGCACTGGTGTGCGTGTCCTACCAGGTATAATTCGCAGCATTGGTGTGCGTGTCCTACCAGGTATAATTCGTAACACAGTACAACTTGCCCTGTCTATACTGGAGCTTTAAAGTGTGTCAATATGCTGTTTGTCTTCATCTAGACAAGCCCTCAGTGGGAACCGATCAGAGAGCCCTTCTTGTGTTGTATACCCGTTACCTAATGAGGGTTGTAGGATGTTTTTGTATTCCTTTTGATTTTTATATTTTACCAATCAAGAAAAATAAGCTCTCTCTTTCTTTGGAACCAGCTTTCTATGTGAGGGTGAAATTCGCCCCACTGCGTATGGCCAGCATGAGGCCTATGTGCCGCTGGAATCGCTATGAATCCCTGAAAGAAACACCTGCTGAGCTCCACCAGAGAGATCATTCCAATAGGCAGTAACTCGGCAGGTTATTCCCAATGTTTCTCTAACTGGCGTGAATTTAGGCTCACAAATAGGATATTGGATGTATATATGAGAGGTCAGTTGTTGCCTCATTGGTGTGCACACTGTCACCAGAGACTCACTAAGGACCTCATCCAAAGCCTATTGAAGTCAATGGAAAGACCTCTGCTGACTTAAGTGGGGATTGGAACACAGGAGAAAAACTGCTGGCATGCTTCTGCGGCCAGCTCCATACTTGGAAGGCTGTGTGGGTATAACTATATGGGTATACGATACCTGTTAAGCACTCCTAGTGTGGGGACAGCTTATGTCAGCAAAGCTGCTCTTTTGCTGGGATGGCTTATTCGAGGCCTCCCTCTGTCCCCCACCTCTGAGCAAAATATACTGCCAAAAGCACAGTTGTGCTGGTATAACCACATCTATGTCAGGCGCTTTTGCCAGCTCAGCTCTGTCAGTCACAAATCATTCCTCATCACACTCCTCAGCAACATAGCTATGCTGGTAAAAGTCTGTAGTGTAGACCTGGCCTGAGGTAGGAAGTCTGATGGGTTAGTGGCCTTGCAAATATGTCAGCTTTAATCTATCCCTTGGCACCTATTGGGTGATAGATTGCATCTTCCTCAGTTTTTAGATCAGCATTCCACAACACGTACCTGTTGGTGGCGTAAAGGAAATTCCTGTTCACCTTGGTTTAGTTTTCTGTAGAAGATCCATTCCTCTTCCGGATTTTCTGTAGCCTCTTCTCGTGCTTCAGAAACAGGATTTTCTTTACAGTAATAAGTAGCAGAAGAGGATTTATCTCTATAATACAGAAAAAAAGTTACTTCTGAAGGCTAGTTCACACTCATGCCAACAGTACTCAACCCACATGGACTTCAGGGCTGAAATTGTGTCTCGAATGAAGTTAATGGGACTAGTGCCACTGATTTCAATGGGGCTAGGATTTCACCCCCTATCAAGAAAGACTGGCTCCTGGCATCAAGAAAATAACTAGAGCAGCATTATAATTGAATGTATATAATAAAGTCTAAATGAAAAGAAAACAGACCTTGTTTTGCCGGAATCTAATATTAAACAGCCACAAATAGTGCATTTAAAAAAAATTACATGGACTACTGCCAGCTCCCCTAGTCAAAGAATTCAAGTAACTTGCTCTTTGTTTAGATTGAGAGTTGAGCTATGGGAGTTACATGGGTTTTGAAGAAAATTAATACTATTTTAGTCTTTTAAAATAAATCCAAGTTATCCTGTACAATAAACACGACATTCTTTTTGCATCTTTTAGACTAAAGACGTTGCTGAGAAAAATGATCTCTTCCAGTCAAATAAATGTTTTTCAAATTTCAGAAGGTCTCAGGTTTTGCACACAGCACCTTGCAAGATCAAATGATAAGCATAGGACTTTGTGAAATAACTGTTCGCCTCTTCTAACCCAAAGAAGCAGATGTACTATACATACCTATGCTCCACAGCAGCAACTATAAAACCCTGAGATGCCATCTCAATGCAGATAGCAGAATATATAGTCCTGAAATCAAAATAATACACTGCTTAAATACACATAGTTTCAATACCTTGCTCCTGAAATAACATATAGGCCATGCTTGTACTACACCTAATTTAATATTGTACATTGTAGATCAATGCCTCCTTTCTTTCTCAAGTTACTAAGGGACTGATTTTTATGTGGAAGTCTGTACAACATTTTCAAAGTCCCACAGGAATAATAATAATTACTAGCTCTGATATGGTGCTTTCATGCATAGAACTCAAAGTGTTTGAGAAAGGAGATGGAGAAACTGAGGCACAGGAGAGGGAAGTGACTTGCCTAAGGTCACCCAGCGGCTCAGCCAGGAATCCCTTTGAGGTCTCCTGAGTCCCAGTCCAGTGCTCTGTCCACTAAGCCATACAGCCTCTCTATCTTTATATCAACACCCATTTTGAAGAGGATTTTTTGAGGAAGAGAAACTAATGATTATATATAATAATACCATGTGCACAATACTTTACATCTTCAAAGTGCTTTACAAACCTTAAATAATTTTTTCTCGCAATACTCCTAAGAAGCAAGTATTTTCAAATAGGGAAACATATAAATAAACCAAAATTGGAGCAGGCCCTCAGTTTTTATAAATTGGCATTGATTTCCATGGAGATATACTACTTTACACCAGCTGAGGATCTGGCCCACTGTTTTTAAAACCAGTTTTAGCTAATGCTGTGATGGATCCAACGCAACTTTACTGGAATAGTGTTCAAAACCATTCTCAAGAACTGTCAACTTCCTGGGCTAAATTCCTCCCTAGCATAAGTCCACTGGGCGCAGTGGAGTTACATTGGAGAGTCACTTGTCCCCATGTGGTCTGAGGCCACAAACTGCAGCATTACCGGAAAGCTCCAAGTCCATGGGAAAAAATAATGAGGGGGTATTTCTCTCCAGGCTTGAAAGCAGCATTCCATTTTGCAGGACATGTCACTGAGCCTAGATAAAAAAGGATATCTGCAGTTAGTGTGGCTTCTCATGTAACCACTTATTTGAGACACGTTCTGATACCCTCCCTTACCTTGAGTAGCTGCTTTACTCCTCAGGTTGTCCCATTGATTTCAATTAGATTTTTGAGTGAGATACACAAGGAGAATAAGAGTAAAGGCCTTAGTTCGTATTCTGCACTAAAAAGCCTGATCCTACAGACACTTATTACCGGGCAAAGGGTGAAATTCCCCCCCATACAGAGAGCCAGCATAAGGCCTATCTCCCACTTAAATTCTGTAGGGGAAGATTTTCAAGGGCACAAAGTCAGTTAGGCATCCAACTCCTACTGACTTTCAATCAGAGCTGGGCACCTAGCCTCCCCTTTGTGCCTTCAAAAAGATTCCCTATAGGGCTTAAGTGATGGCTTTGCTCAAGGATGAATTTTACCCATAGGGCTTACTACTGGGAATATTCCCAGACACCCAAGACAGTGATATTTGGGCACGTGGTGCAGTGAAACATACAGTCACAGTCACCTGAATGTTCCTGCCCCATAGGAAGAGGAGGAGAAACAGTTCTGCAAAGGAAATTCCCTTGAGCTCCTGCAGTATTAACACATTCCTCACATACAGGTGCCATAACTAAACTGACCATAGCACACAATGTCTCACTGGTAAGGCAATTAGAAATAAACTCATCTTACCAACATAGTACTGAAAAACTGTCTCTCCTAACATCCGGTACACGTTGAGGAAGTCGGAAAGTCCGCGATAATATTCCTTCCTGGGGATCCACTTGGTTTCTTCACTACTTGTGCCATTTTGTGAAGGATAATACAGACGAAAGAAGCTTCCCTGTGATTGAATCAGAAAAAGAAATAGATTTTCACACTGAAGCTGCTAAAGAAGAAAAATATTTTTACCTAAGAGTTTAACATGTTAAAATGATACCACAAGGTGTAAGAGAGAGTCCAACGAGAAAATTAACAATAAAGGCTCAGCTTTGATTGCCACCAAATGTTACTGTATTTTTCATACCTGGGAACCAAACAGACATGATCTCTGGCATCCAGCTAAAGTTAGATAACATTCCCTCCCAGGATACCATTACAGCATTATTTCAAAATGTACAATGCAAACTCTCTATTAACTTTAGAGTATTTGCTGCCTCCATTCTCTTATTTCTCCTTCTTTCCCTATTCTCTTCCTATTTCCTCCTGCATCATATTTCTTCAGACTTCTTCAGAGCCTGCATTTCCCTCAGACTTGTTTCAGGCAATATGTTCCAGCAGATAGGGCACAGACTGAGAGTCAGGAGATCTGACCTTTATACACAGCTTAAGCACTGACTTGCTGTCTGCCCATTACTCCTCTGTGCCTCAGTTTCTCTGTCTAAACTGAGGACAGTGATACTTACCCTCTTTGATAGCTACAGATGAAAGCTGCATAAATACAAAATATTACCATTAATAATTTTCTATAGTGTTCCTTCTTTGTTAAGTGTTTCAGATTATTTTCCCCTCCAAACCAATCTCTTTCAAGATGTTTTCATATCTGCTGTGGTCTCTGTTCCCCTATACATATTTTTATTAGTAGTATTTTCTCTCTCTCAAACTCTTACCACTGTTCTCTCTCCCCTCTCAATTTCCTTCCTTTTGGGTCCTTTCTCTTCTTGTGAACCATGTATGCCATTGGGTATGTTTTTTCAATAGAATGTTTCTTCTGCAAGGACCACAGGGTGGGACTACGTACAAGTAATTTAATTTAATAAAGAAGGTGTCCATCAGATAAAAAGTATGTACAGTTTGTATTCTTGCTCTTTAGGACAAAAGTGACTTTGGAGCACACTATTCAAAATCGCTCTCTGATTATATTGTGTTTTGGTGAATTAACTGTAGGAGTGCATGCAAAATGCCCTAAACAATAGGGCAAGATGGCTGTTAAGAACAATACTTATTTTAAACTGGACTTTTAAAAACAGTGTCAGATTGCCTGAATATTAAGTTTCTGATCTATTACCCAATGCACATGAAGAGCTTAGCTGATGAAACTTCTCTCTATTTACAAATCACACTGTAATGAATGATCATTTTTGACAAAGGCTTATTTAGGAACAGATTGCAAAACCCTGACAGTGATGAGGAGTTACTCACCTGAACAGTCCCTATGGCATTACTCAGGTGAATAACTGGTTACCAGTGTGAGTAAATTTCATAATCTAGACTTTAGAGAATGTTAATAATCCAGATCATTTACCTAATAAAGGCACGAAAGCTAATTTGAAGCAGTTAAACTCTACCATGTGAACTACCCAATCTTTATGTAACGTAGGCACACAATAAATCCTTATACAATTCACAGACAAAAATACCCAAATGATCCCTACTCACCACAATCACTACAAGCAAATTCTACCATACTAGCTTTGCTTGGAGTTTAAAAATGCCATGCCAATGCTACAGGAACTACCAACAACAAAGGGCAAGAGTGTTTTAGTAGAAAAATTGTGAGGCTACTGTATCTGAAAATGCAAATCAGCATTGACTAGGCTGAATGGGCTGCAGGCCCATTAACTGCTTAATACTTTATCTGCATTTTTGGGAACCTGAGAGATATAATTGCTTGGTTCTGTTATGGTTCTATACCAATTCTGAAGGCAGTAATCTTTCTTTTTAAATGGGTACAAATTCCATAATTGTTACTTTTTAACACACAGCAGAAATGCTGTACATCATCCCTCATTTGCCATGCTAGGGGGACTTTTCTGATGGGGACAGCTGCAGTCGTGGGAGACCTTGGTGGTGGGTCTCCATTGGAGCTAAGTTACCAGGAAGGATGGGGGCAGGTGCCAGGAACCCAGAGGTATGAGGGCTCTGGGTGAATGGTCTTGCATATCTCCCAGGATCAGGGGCAGGGCCTCTGGCTCATTCCATGGGGTGGCAAACCACGTTTCTCACCTTCACTATGGCACATGGAACAATCAGGAAGAGTTTTCCTGCCCCATTCCAAAGAATTCTCTATGGTGAGCTGTGAATTCAGTTGGAGTTTGGTGTCTAAATACCTTTGAGGATCTTGGCTAAGGAGCATTGCCTTAACTAGGAAAGCAGGATCAGGCTCTTAAATTGTACTTAGAGATGGGTCCAAGCTACAAAGCTCAGATATAGATAAGGATTCAGTTCTGAACTTCTCCAAAGTTTTGGAGGTTAAATGATGGTGTCTATATCCAGACATTTTTGCCTGCCAACTTCAGTTTATAAAATCTATATCCTAGTATCTGACAAAATTGACTGATTTACAGTATATTCCTGTCATTACAGCCTTACACTTCTCGCGATACCTGTGCCACAGTAGCCATCCTCTGTCAGAATTAATTCATATGAAACATTTTGTTCACAAAAAGTAAAATGCCTAGAGGCTTTATCCTGCCCCTCTGCCTGGGTGAATTTCCACCTATCAGAACCAGAGGAACTTTTCATTTAATTAATACCTAGTAGTATGACGAAGGCTGCAATGTTGGACTTGTGACTTATGTCAAAATAAAGTAGGGAGTGACAGGAAGGTTTTGGCTATCATACCTGAATCGTGTGATCAGTCATCAGGTCCGTGCAGCCAACAGTGTAAGGCCCCTTCCCCTCGGGGATTCTATAAAACTTTGCAGAGCTCATGCTCCCCAGTTCCTTCTGTGCATTAACAGACAAGCCTGGGGGGGAAAAGTAGAACATGAGACTCATACCTGCTGAAAAGGACATAAGGACATTAAAGATTCAGGACTTTGAGATTCAGGGCTGAGCTGACATTCAGGGTGATGAGAAATAGGCACCGGATTCATAGATTTTAAAGCCAGAAAGGGCCATTATGATCTCCTGTGTACCACAGGCCATAGAATTTCACCTGGGCAAGCCACAGACAGCTGGGTGGGAATGATGAGGGGCGGAGATGAGAGCCGGGGCAGGGGTTACCAGAGTGATGTGGGGACTAGGAAGCTGGCAGAAACCTGGGATTGCTGGGGGGATGAGCAGTGATATTCGGCCAGGAGCAATGTTTGATGGGGCAGGGTTAGGAGATCCTGGAGCAGCCTGCATGGAGGAGCTTGGTTCAGCCGCCCCCATTCTACCACTGTTACCTTAAAGCCGCCCCACACTCTGCCTTGTCTGCATTAATCTTCTCCACCCTGCCCTGTCCCCTTTCAGCTCCTGCTTCATTCTGATCCCCATGCTTCCCCCAACCTTTCAACCCGACACCCATCCTGTCCTCGGCCTATCCCCTGAGACTGTCCCCCTCCTTCTCCGAGCTGGCTTCCCACTTGTCTCCTCCCCCAGCCACTCCTCCTCCTCCTGACTCCTGGCTCCCTTGCCAACTGGAACCACCTCCTCCTTCCAGCAGCTCCATAATGGTTTGCATCCTGCAGGGGAGCAGCAAAAGCAGGGGAGATGGAGTTTGGGGGTCCGCAATTCTTTCACCATAGCTGTCCCTGGTGGCCAGGAGGAGAAACTCCAGCAGAATCCTTGCAGACCGGCTTGATGTGTGACTTGCAAACAGGACTGCTGATCTGCATGACCGGTCTTCTGAATGTGTGCATGTCTCATGTGATATCAGACACTCTACAGCCCAGCCTTCAGCAAAGCCCTGAGGGAGGCGAGTGGTGGTAACATAGCCAACTCTTCCTCTAGATCAATCTTTCTAAGGTGCATAATAATTAGTTGACACAGATAGCACCAGTAGGTACAGTCAGTAGCATTTATAACTCACATTGGGATCCACTGGAAAAATTACTTTGAATGATATCCATTACACTACCAGGGCCAGCCTATTGCTTTTCACCACTGATTTGGCAGAAGTTTCATAGTCACATAAAAATACATGAAATATTAAATAAAAACAGACCAATTACCTTATTCTAATTCACAGGCAGAGAATATGTGCATACTATAAAACCCCATGGAAATACATGCCTGTGGTCAGTGGCTGCTTTGCAAACCTCAGCATTTTGTCTGCTATTAAAAGACTCAAAGGCTAATTGGCCTAGGATTAGGAGATTTTCCTCCTTCATATTGGAGGACTGCATGTCTCATTTGTGTGAAATTGGATGAATGAAGAGACAGCACAAAGTAAGCCTGATTTTCAAAACTGTGAAGTGCCCACAATTTCCCAGTAAGTAGCTCTGAGTGCTCAGCACTCTGAAAATCACTCTCAAAGCTTACACATGCCTGTGACCAGTACTCTGGAATGCTTGATAATGGCTTACCCAGCTGAGAAAACGGAACTGTATCAGTGTTTCAGATCACGTTCAGAACTGATGGATATTTCAGGATCAAGAAGAATGTTAAATGTATCTATAGTTATTGTAAGGATGGGCTAATTTTTGTGTGTGATAACAATAAAATAATAATACTTTGCAGTTCTATGATGACCTCCATCTAGGGTCTCAAAGTGCTTTACAAACAGTAATGAACTGAGGTTTAGACCATCCTTACTGGGCCAGATTCTCTATTGCCTTGGCCCTTGTGTAGTCATTTACATTATGTAAAGGGAGAAACAGCAGGGTTAAAATGCTAGCGGTCTCTTTGCATAGGTGTAGATGACTCCATAAAATGCAAGGCAATAAAGAATCATCTCCATTTCACATGTGGGGAAACTGAGGCACAGAACAGTTAAGTGACCTGTCCAAGGTTACACAAATAGTCTATGCTAGAGATGGGACTACAGATGAGATCTTCTATCTCCCAGTCCTGTGTTATCGCCACAAGATTATTCTTCATAAAATAATGTCCCATTAAATACCCAAAGGCACTAATAGGCCCCAATTCTGCAGATGCTGCTTGCATGAAACTTCATGCATGGAGGAGTTACTGATTGGGGTGCATAGTGAACTGGTAGTCTGCACATAAATTAAGAGCTTTGAGGTAACAAGTGCAAAATCACATTTCTCCCCCTTTTTTTGTTTTTTGTTAGTCTCCTACAAATTAATAATAGCTGCAACACTGAAGGATACATTTCTTACCTGCAAATTTAATTTCTCCCAATTTCCCTATGCTAGTCCAGAGCAACCAGTAACGGAAACGGAAAAGTAAATGAAACTTTGAAGACTGCATCTTCTATTCGTGCACTTCTATTCACGAACGTCTTTCAGCTTCATAATCTTTGTCAAAGCAAATAATTTAAAACCATATAAGCAACAAATATTCAAAAGCAATGTAGTTTTTGTTTTCCTTTTAAGGGTGGCATCTGGATTAGCAGAAGATTGGGAGCCTTGCTCAGTCTCCTTGGCCATTCAATCCTTGCTGAGTCTACCAAGAGAGCCAATTGTGGGGGCTGTTTTTTTGTGATGTTCATTCCTGCTTCACTACAACCTGGACTAAGAGCATCAGCGCTTTTCACACAGCACCCCTACCACAGAGCCATCAGATCATAATTACATTGACTGGTCATTACAGCCCACATTCTGTGCTGTGCCTTACGGGAGCCCATAGAGGTGAGGTAAAGGCAACTGTACGCCCCTTTCATGCCTCCTGGATTCTGGGATAAGTTTGGGCCCAATCAGTCTAGAGCATAATTTAGAGCAGTTCCTGGGCAGGTTTTTACAGCAGCTTCCCAAGGCCCCCTGTTGGTAGGCTTGGCAGAATTCAGCTTTTATTTTTTTATAATTTCAACAGATAATATCAATGTTTATCAGAACATAAGACTGACCACACTGAATCAGACCAATGGTCCATCTAGCCCAGTATCCCATCTTCTGACAGTGGCCAATGCCAGGTGCTTCACAGGAATGAACGGAACAGGTACTCATCAGCTGATCCACCCCCTGTTGCCCATTCCCAGCTTCTGGCAAACAAAGGCTAGGGACACCATCATAAATTCTTAAATATTTTAAAGAATATTTAATTTTCATTGATTTAAATCTTCACAGTTGTGCAAAATGATGGGTTCTAAGTTTTTTTATTTTAATCTGTTTAAATTTTCATAGCTGTGAGACATTATGGATGGGGGTCCAGACAATAATTATTGAATGACAGCAGATGTTCAGATTCAAAAAGTTAAAGCTTTATAATCTTTAAAACACCAATAGTCAATGTCACATGTAAAAACATACAACGTAAATATCATTAAATCAAACACTAATAAGTTCTCAAGCAGCATTTTTCTTACTTTGCCTATCTGGAAATTTTGGTTATTATTAGTGGAAATATCTTTTTGTTTCTGTGTGTGTGATGAAATCGATGTTTACCAATAAAAATCTAATCCTTCCAAGCCCAGAACAGCTGGAGCAGAGAATACCCCAGCTACACACTTTTCCTCCCACAGCACCGCTCTTCTGGGCCCTATACCACCCCCAGAGCCCCTACAATCACAGCTGCAAGAGGGAAAAGCCTGTTTTGCTGTCCCTTCACCTCTTTGAGAATCCCCCTGTGCCGGGGGAATCTAGCTGTTTTCTAGACCTTGTGGTCATGTCCACACTGCAACTAAAAATCCACGGCACTAAGTCTCAGAGCCCACGTCAGCTGACTTGAGCTTGCGTGGCTTGGGCTACAAGGTTGAAAAATTGCAGCATAGACATTCAAAGTCAGGCTGGAACCTGGGCTCTGAGATCCTCCCCCTCACAGAATCTCAGAACTCAGGCTCCAGCCCAAGCCCAAACTTCTACACTGCAATTTTATAGCCCCGCAGCCTGAGCCCTGTGAGCCTGAATCAGCTAGCCTGGACCAACTGCGGCCATGCCACGTCTTTTATTGCAGTGTAGGCATATCCTTAGGGTACAGCTTCACAATAGTGTGTCTCAGAGCCTGGGGGAGGTTAAAAATTGTGGTGACAAAGTTCAGGCTCAGGCTGGAACCCAGGCTCTGAACCTCTGCGAGGGGGAGGAAGGATCCTGAAGCCCTGACTTCACTCCATCAACAGCTATATTTAGTTTCGCAAGCTCCAGTCAGTTGACCTGGGCTCTGAGACTCACTGTCACAGGGTGGGAGGGGTTTCTGTGTAGATGAACCCTTTTGTGTGTAAGGAGTGATGTAAAGAGACTGCAGAGCTGCTGAGAATCAGGGCCATAATCTGAATCTGAAGTGACTGAATCCTCATCTACACTGGAAAATTAGAGTGGTAGCCAAGTAGAGTTCTAGCCCACGAAAGCTTATGCCCAAATACATTTGTTAGTCTCTAAGATGCCACAAGGACTCCATATTGTTTTCGCTGATACAGACTAGAAAATTAGTTCAGCATAACTACGCTGCCCAGCCATGTGAAAAATCCACACCCCTGAGCAGTGTAGTTAAGCTGACCTGAGTCCCTGTGTTGATAGCACTAGGTCAATTGAAGAATTCTTCCATCCACCTAACTACCGCCGCCCAGGAAGGTGGATTACCTACGTCGATGGGAGAATCTCTCCCATCAGCATAGATAGTGTTTACCTTGAAGCACTACATGAGCACAACTGTGCTGTGTAGTGTTTTAAGTGTAGAGAAGCCCTTATTTTCCAGTTAGCTTGCAGCCACAGCCTATAAATGATTGTGATTTTATGCCCAAAAAGACAATGAAAGAAAATACTGTTAAGTGATAAAGACACAAGTTAAGGAGTCAGGGCACCTGGGTTCTCTTCCTAGCTCTGCAACAGACTTGCTATGCAACCGTGGGCAAGTGACTAGGGCTCAGGTCTGCAAAGGTTTATAAGAACCTAAATACTCTGAGGATCTGAGCGTAAGACCCCAGTTCAGCAAGATATTTAAATATGTTTCTAACTTCAAGCACCATTGACTTTGATGGGACTACTCAGAACTGAAAGTTAAATATGTGCTTACTAAAGTACCCTGCTGAATTGGGTCCTTAATCTCTCCAGTCTCAGGTTGAATCTACGCTAGAAAATTAGGTCCGCATAGCTACGTTAATTGGGAGTGTGAAAAATCCACTCCCCTGAGTAGTGTAGTTAAACCGACCTAAATCCCCATGCAGACAGCACTAGGTCAATGGAACAATTCTTGGGGAGGTGGACTATCTACACCAATGGGTGAGCCCCTCCTCTCGGCATAGGTAGTGTCTACACTGAAAGGCTACAGCAGTGCAGCTGTGCCAATGTAGCGTTTTAAGAACAGACAAGCCCTCAGTCCCCTGCCTGAAAAATGGGAAGAATACTTCCCTAGCTCACAGGGGTGTGTGAGGCTTTGTTCATTATTTGTAAGGTTGTGTAAGAGCCTTGTATGAAAAGCATGACAGCAGCGCAAAGTCTGTTCTCTCAGAGACACTGAGACACTTTAAACTGTTACACTTAAGACTCAGCAAAGAGGCTACTTGAGTCACAAAAGACATCCATACCCCTAAACAGAAAAGGAAGCAGGGTAGCAAAGAATAAAGCAGGACAGGCTGATTGCAATATTCAAGAAGTTATTCGTGCCAAACAAATATCATTCGGAAAACTGAAACCCAACCCTAGGGAAGACACTTGTATTTTGAATCTCTTAAATTTTCCTGGTTAAGAAATGCTTTTCTCTGCTTGAATTCTGTCCAATGTTTCTAGATACCGCACTAGCTGAACGGCGGGTCCCGTAACTTGCTGGGACCTTGCAAAACACCCCACGCTCTTTTCACCCTGCTGTCAGGGTGGCGGGGTTGCCTTTTGCCTTCAACACGCAACTGTCTGAACTGGGGCGGCTCCAGAAACGCTGTCCCTGCGCTGCCAAAGGGCTCGGGAGATCCGCCCGAGAGGCTCAGAGAGTAAGCACGGCGCGGGCCCGCAGACACGGGCAGCGCCGCCGCCGGAGACCACGCGCACCCGCCAGCCCCTGGCTCCCCGCCCCTCTGTGCCGCACCGCGCCCCGCTGCCCGCCCCGCCCATCAAAATATGTGACGGGTGGGCGGCCCCTCCTTCTGGCCAATGAGAGCGAAGGGCAGCGGGCTTCCGCTCCCAGCGCCGCGAGCCGGCAGTTCCGGTTTCCCCCCGCCCGGGGCTGTGACTGCGCCGGGGTCCCGCTCCTGCTCGCGCGTGACAGGCAGCTCCCGCGCGCCGGCCTCCCCCCTCCCGCGCCCGGCTCCCCGCGGCCCCGCACCGCCCCGCAGGATGGTGCGGAAGCTGAAGTTCCACGAGCAGAAGCTGCTGAAGCGGCTGGACCTGGTGAGCTGGGAAGCGGCCTCGGGGAACCTGGCCGAGCTGCGGGTGCTGCGGCGCTACCGCCTGCAGCGCCGCGAGGACTACACCCGCTACAACCAGCTCAGCCGGGCCGTGCGGGAGCTGGCGCGCCGCATCCGCGACCTGGGCGAGGCCGACGCCGCCTTCCGGGCCCGCTGCACCGCCGCGCTGCTGGAGAAGCTCTACGGGCTGGGGCTGGTGAGCTCCAAGCACTCGCTGGAGCAGTGCGAGCGGGTCTCGGCCAGCGCCTTCTGCCGCCGCCGCCTGCCCTGCCTGCTGCTGCGGCTCCGCATGGCCCAGAAGCTGCGCGACGCCATCACCTTCATCGAGCAGGGACACGTGCGGGTGGGGCCCGAGGTGGTGACCGACCCCGCCTGCCTGGTGAGCCGCGCCATGGAGGATTTCATCACCTGGACCGATTCCTCCCGCATCCGCCAACACGTGCTGAACTACAACCAGGAGAGGGATGACTTCGACCTGGCCTGTTAGGAGAGCAGGGGCCCTGCTGGCTAATACGCTTCACCAGCCTGGGAAGAGACTCTGGACCCAGATATGCTGCTCCTCCATGCCACTGGGAGTGGGGCTTGACCTGCATGTGCTGCCCTGGCCCAGTTGTTCTGTGTACCACCTCCCCCTGCAAAGGGATTCCTGGCTCAGATGGGCCTTGTCTGATACTACCCACCTCCTCTGTGAAGAGATTCATAGCCCATATGGGCTGAGCCCCAGTACCACCCACCTCCTCTGCAAAGGGGCTATTGGCTCAGTTGTGCCACCATGCCTGCTTCCTACCACCTCCCTGTGAAGGGACTCCTGGCTCAGATGGGCTGAGCCCAATACCACCCACTTCCTGTAGGAAGGGACTTCTGGCCAGATGGGCTACTAAGCTCTCTGCAAGCCTCTGTCTCCTCTGTGACATTGTACCCTCCTGCTGCAAAGACCATTAGCAAAACAGGCAGAACGGTGTTGTTCTGTTGTCACCATCAGAGGGCCATCTAGAAGGAACTAATGAACAAATGCTCTCCTAGCCAGGAAAACAATGTAGAGGGCAACTGAAGATTTAAATTTTGTTGCTCAAATGTGGTGTTGGAAGAGATACAGGTTTTATACTTTTGCCTTGTCAAGGGGCTTGTCTCTCACAATAGTCACTCTTTCAAAAATAAATCAATAGGGATAGTTCTGTTTTCAGAATTCAACTTCGCTAGTTATGCTAACATTGTAATCAGCAGCAATACCTAACATAGTCCTCATGACTTTCTCACTTTTAATAAAGCTGAAATTACTTTTCTTAGAGCATTCATTTGATTTCTTTAAAGCAAGACCTGAGCTGTCTTTCCCTGTAGTATTTGTTTTCTCCTGCCCTAAAGTAATAAAATTGAATGTTTTTGTTTCAGTTTTGAACTGGAACAGGCATTTAACCAATAATTTAAACCAAACTACATTTTAAATGGTTCATTATTAATTTTTTCTGTGGATTTTCAGGCACCTGGCTAGGTATATTCTGTCTTCATCATGGTCACAAGTATATTTCCTGTTGTCTTTATTGTTGATGTTTTGCTGCATAGTGTCTATTACATCTTGTGGATTTATTGTTTATGGTAGTGCTACTTATGTGCTAGGCATTTTGCCCTAAGGAGCTCAGAAAGTTAAATCCTCTCTTTAGAGGGGTGAAGGCCTTTTCTATACTGAAGAGTTTTGCTGGTATAGCTGTGTCGCTTAGTGTGGAGAAAAAAAATCGGACATAACTATGCAGTCAAACAAGGGCTTTTGCTGGTATAGCTTATTTTGTTTGGGGACTGGTAGGAACTGACCTTGTTACTAGGAAGTAGAAATAAATCAGCAGATCTTTTCTAGTGTGGATAAGGCCTTAAACTGAATAACGTGCATGCTTGTGACCTAAAGCACTTACATGTCCATTACCGTAGTGTCTGGGTATCTTTATTTATCCTCAGCTCTGCAGCAAGGTGGGAGAAGTATGAGCATACGCATTTTACGGAAGGGAAACTGAGGCACAGAAGGACTAAGGGTCTTTCCTATCTTCACAAAAGAAGTCTGTTACAGAGCAGGGAATTAGACCCAGGAGGCCTGAGTTCTAGGCTAGTGCTTCAGAACTGCCCCATGCCGCCTCTCACATATTCATTATCACTTGCAATACAAGTTTCACACATGGATCATGTGATTAGAGTGGAATACTGGCAACACAGTGCTATCGCTGTTGTGGAACTTGAGTTGCAGTTCTTCAATACTGGTATGGTTGGAAAGTTGAGTTTAGGCTTAGCTCCCTGCTGATAGGGGTTAATGCATCAGTAGATGGTGAGGGAATCCAGCTGAACAAAAGCGTACTTTAAAAGTAGGTGGCAGAGTGAACTCCGCTCCCACTTTACCAAGTTGAAATGTAGTGAATTTCAAACTGAGTTAAAAGTATCTTCACTTTGCTCTCCCTGACAATTTTTGTGGCTTATAACCTTAAATAGCTTAAAGACTAAAGGAAATCATAAAGTTGTCTTCAGTACATGTTGTTAAATCCACAACTTGAAACTGACAAGGGAAATATATTTTCCTTTTATCTTATCAAACTGTAGCAGAGGTAGGTGCTACTGTGTATTTTTTGTTTGTTTTTGTTTTTAAAGCTGCTGTCCCTTTAATGATAAAAGGGGAAGATATTAAATGAGAAATACTATATATATTTTAGTAGCATGGATGTAACTATATTTTTCTGCCAACCAGGGTGTAAGTCATTCATAATTTTGAGAAAATATCTTATCTAGGATGATACTAATGCCTATTTTTAAAAGAATAAAACCAAAGCAAACTGAGAAGTGCTTTGAAAATCTTAAACCTAACCATGTGAAAAAGAGGTGAGTGGGTAGTTACCCAGGAAAACTTTGGGTCACTAATACTTTATGCCATGAAGGAATTTTAAACTTTTCCTCTACTGAAGTAGCTATTCTTCCGTGATACTGGTATACTGGTGGCATGGAGTTTGAGGAAAAGGAGCAAAGCATGTAAAGCAATGCATAAATAGCAAGGTTGTGATCTATCTTTTGCCTACCATGCAGGCAAGGAGACAGTGTATGGCAGTGGAACTAATGGTATGACCTCCTTATCTCTGGTCAGCACTAACATGCTAAAATGCTGGAAGTTTTCATGGCTGTGTGGTGCCAGGACTCTGACAAAGAGGAAAATCTCTCCTAGTTTTGCTGTTTTAACCCTTTGAAAATTAGCTGCTCTCCGTACGTCACACAGGGTCTAGCTAACAAATGTCCTGGGTTTCTTGCTGCTGATGTGGGGTTTTTTAGATAGGGAGGAACTGGGTCTGGTTTCATGCCTGCTGTAAGTCCCTTTCTCCCACCTGCTACCACTTCTGGTTTTTTTTTAGGAACCTTCCACATTCTACCCTCGCTCTCTGTCACGTACCGTCCCCTTTTGCTTCAGGTTCCCAACTACTTCCAGAAGCTGGTAGCTGCTGCTAACTGGGGAGTTGGTATGCACTGCTATTACAGAGCATGCACAGCACATGTGAGCTCCTCAGCAGGACTGTAGGAGGAGAGCAATCTCAGGAAGGAGGACATAGGGGCCCTTTGCCAAGGAGAAGAGGGACCTGGCACAAAATCCCTCAGGCCCAAGTGGTGAGGATGAACATGTGCTCATTGTCCTATGGGTTAAGCCATAGGTAGATTTAAAAATAATGAAAAACCAACCCTCCATAACTTATAGTAAAGATTCTAACTGGTGACTGAAGAGAAGTTTGACTTTAGAAGCACTGTGAGTTGAGTATCTTTGATATATCCACGTACCGAGTAAGCTCCAGAGTTGAACCTATAACCTCTTTTTTTACACCACTGACTTATGAATGTTGCAAACTGCTGGTTAAACTGGACACTGAAATGAGTAAAGCCATTGACAATAATTCTAGTCTTAGCAAGACTCTCACATTAATAATTAGTTTTTGTAGCTGACCTTAGTGAAAAACAAGTTGAATGCAAATTGGCACTAATAAGCTACCCACAGCTTTCAAATTGACTAGGAACTACCTAGTTACATTTTTCTTTCCCAGACGGGAACTGAGCAAACCAAAATTAATATGTGAAATTGTAGCCTTGCCAGAAAAGGGTACATGTATTTTTGGACATAATAATTGTAAGCCTTTCTTTGAAATTTCATAAAGATCATTAAATGTGCCAGTAGACTCTATTCTTTATCTTCCTTCTGGATGACCTTAAAAACAAAAGTTTACAATGAAACCACAGATAGTTAAATAGATGCTAATTTCAATTTATAGAAATATATATGTATATAATAAATTTGGTACTAAAGATTTCTATTTTCAAATTTCTTTCTGCACCTTTAACCACGGCTACAAAGGAAGTTGGTGTTGGAGCTGGAGTAAACTCCAAAAATTCCTGTGCCTGGACACTAGCCTACATCTCCATTCCAATCCTGACTATAAATAGAAAGGTTTGCACAAATGTTTTAAGCGGGATGGGTAGCATGTTTAAACATAGAATCATAGCATATCAGGGTTGGAAGGGACCTCAGGAGGTCATCTAGTCCAACCCCCTGCTCAAAGCAGGACCAATCTCCAACTAAATCCTCCCAGCCAGGGCTTTGTCAAGCCTGACCTTAAAAACATTCCCCTCTTAGGATGGAAACTTAAACCCAGCAGCACCATGCGAGAGAATGAGAGTCACAAAGTGAAACCTCACAGTCTAATCTTGTTCAAGCTGAGTAGTGTGTGCACTAGTTTGAATAAACTACCATAAATGGCAATGGAACAAACTAGATTTTCAAACTTCTTTCCATTTTAATCAAGATATTAGTAAAACAAGGAATTTTTAAAAATCCTTAAGTGAAAAATGTATTTTTTAGGACTCCAAAAGAGGTGGGGAAAGTAGGAAGCTGTCTTATTGGGATCCAGGAAGTAGTAAAGGATCCCCCCCCAGCCTAAGAGGGGGTCCACAGGACCTGGAAAACCAAATAATTACGGGGGACAACTAATGAACCATAGGGACAGGAGTGTGGTCAAAGGGTCAAACGAAGGACTGGGGACACCGAGCAGAGAACCCTGGACAGTGCCCACTGCTCCTTAAAGGCGTCAAGGGAGTCAGTGGACACGGCCCAGAGGAACTCTGCCCAGAGGCGTGAACGGACGGAGGATCAGAAATAAGCCCCACAGTCACAGGAGACTCCATCAGCCAACCTCCTCACCCTGGTTTTATAGATGGCCGCTTTAGCCAGGGCCAGGAGGAGGTTGACCAGGAGGTCCTGTGACTTAGTGGGGCCACGGACAGGGAGTGCATAGATAAGGAGGTGAGGGGAAAAGTGCAACCAAAATCTTAACAAAATACTCGTGAGGAACTGGAATAGGGGCTGCAGCCTGGCGGACTCCAGGTAGACATGCGCCAGGATTTCCCTCACACCGCAAAAGGGGCAAGTGTCCGGGATTGGAGTGAACCGCGCCAAGTACACGCCCGTACTCACGGCCCCATGAAGGAGCCACCAACTGATATCCCCGGCGGGCCTCGGGACCAAGGTGGAATATAGGCCAGCCCACCGGGGCTCCTCACCCTCTAGGGGTGGCAGGAGGTCCCACCACTTTGTGTTGGGGCAGGACGCGAGGGTGAGGACATGAAGGGTGTGGAGCACGAGCGTGTATAGATGTTTCCTTGGTGTGGTCTGGAAATGGACCGGTTGCAGCTCGTGTAGCTGGCTCACGGTGAAGGGGTGGGGGGTCGGTTGGGTCCATGGGGCAGGGGCCCGATAAGAAGGTCCGGAGGGCCTGGCGTGGAGGGTGGGCGGGGCATGCCCTTCCTTAGGATCCGGTCGAGGTAAACCCAAGCAGCGAGCGGCAAAGCGGCCCTCACCTCCTGAAGTACACGCAGGGGAGTACGAGGTCTGGAGAGCCCCATGTGCTGAGCTAGCATCAAGGGCTCCAGCCAGTCTCCCCGGTCGTAGTCCCGGAGGTCTCTGACTCTAGTGACTTCTGCCAGGACCAACCTCTGGTGCACTGAGGGGACTCCGCCACCTGCACACGGAGCTGGGGGTTGTGTAGCAGGGGATCCGCGAGGAGCTCTTCCCCCACGGAGGCCGCCATGGACCTGGTCACTGTGAACAGTTTCCAAGTCCAGAGGAGGTCCTGGTAGAAGACCGGCAGCCCGGAGAGGTCTTGCGGAAGACCTCTTGGATGGAGGTAAAGGAGCTGCCGGTCATATCAGAGCCCTCGGAAGCGGCGCAGGAAGGCGTGCGCCAGTACTCTCAACGCCAGACTACCTGCACCATAAAGGAGC